CCCCCAAAACCCCAAAACCCCAAAACCCCAAATAAGTTAGAAAGGATAGAGCAAATAATATTTAATAGTAATAAAATGAGTTCTACCAAGCAAGCCAAACAAAACATCTATGAAGATAAGAGATCAAATATATGGGACGATTCTAACTGAACTGTAGATGTAGAGTACATTGCTCCGACTCCGATTCAAACTTTGAAGAATACCTCGGTGTTCAAAAATAGCTTATGCAATAACTCTTCACCCTCAGAAGAGGATTCATCAGAAGACGAACATATTTCTGAAACTCCTAAATTTTCCCCAAAAGAGAGGGATTCATTCCAGGAGAGATATGTAGCCCTTGAGGCTGGTTTTAAGACCAAGGAGTCTCATACATCTTTCTATAAGAAATACCAAGGCCTTGATGAGATTAAAAAGGATTTGAAATCAGGCAAATCATTCCAAATCTGAAAGACTATTAACAACGAAACAAGTTGGGGTGGACTATGCAAACAAAAGCAAATGGTGGACTCCCCTAAGATCCTTACTTATATGAGATCGTCTGATCTCTAAATCAGCCAGACACGGCTTAATGATTGCTAATAACATTAATCTTCTAATAATTTCCTGCCAATCACTTGTTCATGTCTTCTTATGTTTTCTAAACTGTAGAACCCTTAATATTCTTACTAAATGTGCTAACCTAAATAAAGGTATAAAACAAGGAGGATTCCGGCAATTTATTAATTTATTTGTTATCTTCTCCTATTACAACTAATTGTTCACTCTGGAACCTTGCTGTCTCACAAGGCAGCAAGGTTTAGAGAGTGTTTTAGAAAATACGTCAGATCTAGGAGGAAGAATGAAATAATACTGACTATTGTTAAAATATTAATTTCGAATTAATTCATAAAACGGGCCGTAATTTTTGGGTTCTTCATGAGCCAAAATCCAACCGTGTGCGGGAAATTTTAGTACAAATAGCTATAAACTATGAATAAATCGATCATCTTAGCTCTTAATAAACTCTGGAGTTCCCCCAGAGAGAGATTCAGAGTGCATCTTAGTTCATCTTCATAAAGATTTGTCAAAGAAATAACAACTAGAGCAAGATGGTAGAACATGATCTTTAGATGTAATTAAGACTATGATAACTCTTATAGATTTTACACCTAGAGTTATTTACAAATAATTTACCTATCATAACTGCGACTCATCATGATACCAGATGGGTGAATATTTTCTAAACCAGTGCTGGGCAATAACTTAATATCTGCAGTATTCGTCAATAATTTTGTATGAGAACACTCATAAATTTATCCTCCTACATGAAAGATTGTATATAACGCTCATAAAGCCTAGTTGTTAGAGTTTTCTCAGTCATGCACAAAGTTTGGGTTTTTATTAACAATATTTTAATAAATTTGGTCTTATGAAATATTCTTAAATTTTTCTAATTGAAACGGATTTATGTAGCACATGCCAGTCGGAGTCTCAACCATGGCTGAGGCTTGAAGAGACCTATAGCCATGACATTCATCAATTTTCCATGAAGAATCGATTCATTTTATACTTAATTTTAGGAATCACTGAAGTTTTCCCTTATTACTATTAAATGGCTTAAAAGGGAAAACTCTTGGGTTTTTATTCAGAAATCTAGTAATTAATTTAGAAAATCTTCATGCTGAACTAGAGCACGATTAGAGGTGGTAGAGAAATATGGATTTTCTAATAAAAATATGGGATAGCTAGAGGATTGGGAAAGGAGTGTTAGGATTTTTGTGAGATTTTAAAGAAATTGGCTTTTCAGATAAGTTATTCCAAAATTTTAAATTTTGTAGAAGTAATACTAAAACTCATCAGGAAACTGATACTACAGGAACAAAAGTGATGAGAATCCGGTTCTACAGCTTTAAAATCTTACTCCAGAGTATTAAATTTCAAGCTCTGTTCAAACTTCAGCCTACTCTAAATCCTTTCCTTCAGAACTTACTCTGGTGATCTATCCTGTTATTTTCATAACTTCCAGTCTCTTCGGCTTTATTTTTACAGATCAGACCGGTCCCATCTTGCTAAAGATTGCTAATTTTCTCAAATAAAATTTTAATGGAACCAAGGGCCTCTTGACAGAAAGAATACACCAAGTAATGCTAATGCTTGAAATATTAAATAGTATTTAAAATTTAAAACAGACTTTCTTGCTTAAGATGTTCTAGAAGAGACCTGATGCTCTGCCGAAGAAACAGAGCTATCGTAAGTAATCCTACATGAACCTTCTGATCAGTTCTGAACCAGTATGATGCGATATTAAGAGAGCTATTTTCAGAAGAATGAAGCGACTTCCGAATTGGAAGCTTCAGTCAAATCTTCATTAAATCCAGCTTGATGCTTGTATATCTCCTGAAATGAATCAGGAAAATATTGTATATACTATAAGTTCAATTTAGGACTTCACTTGTGGGGTTTTGGGGTTTTGGGGTTTTGGGGTTTTGGGGTTTTGGGG